GAGAGAGAGAGAAGAGAGAGAAGAGAGAGGGAGGGAGGGAGGGAGGGAGACAGAGAGAGAGAAAAAGAGAGTCAGAGAAAGTAACGGGAGCTGTTACTGCAGAAAAGGTGATCATGAAAGGTATTTCTGAGGACAAGATATTGGGAGAAAAACTTGAAAGAAAGAAAGGGGTCAATCACACAGTTATCTAGTAGAAGAGCAACCAACACTGAGACAATAGCAATTGTGAAGGACTGTGGCGGGGAGAAAGCTTGATACAGTATAATAAGTGCAAGATGCCAGGATAACTGTGAAGAGAAGGGTGCTGAGCAAAATAGTGTTGGAGGACGGGGATTTAGCTCAGTGGTGTTGCCGATTAACAGGAGCTAAACTATTTTGAGTCTTTTGGGCCATGTTAAACCCTGTGGATTTCATTATGAATATGATGGGAAGACAACAAAGGATACTAAGGACAGAAGGTACATCATCAAACTTACATTTTTAAAGGACCATTCTAGCTTCTATATGAACATATTATAAAAGACACAAATAGAAATGGGACAATCAGCTAGCAGGTGCTTACATATTCGAGGGGGGAAGTATGTCATAAGGAGTAATTGTACTTCCATTACCCCCATCAAAATATATCAAATTTAAAATACATGCTATAAGACTGCATATAGGATTTGACAATGATCAGATGGGAGTGTGGGGAAGAAGAATCAAAGATGGTTCTAACTTCAAAAGAGCAAGCAAACCGGGCGTGGTGGCGCACGCCTGTAATCCCAGCACTTGGGAGGCTGAGGCAGGAGGATTGCTGTGAGTTCCAGACCAGCCTGGGCTACATAGTGAGTTCCAAGTCAGTCTCAACTACATAGTGAGACCCTGCCTTAAAAAAAAAAAAAAAAAAAAAAAAAAAGAGCAACTGTAAACTTGACCAAAAAACAAGAGCAACAATAATAAAAGAATCTTGTTAATAACTTATACAGTTTAGAAAGAGGATAGGCATCAGGACACACATACAATTATTCATCCATCAAACTATTTGACGCCACCTGCCTTGCAAGCAGAAGGTCCCAAGTTTAATCCCCGGTACCAAACAAAACAGAACTATTTGAACATCTACTGTATTTCAGGTACTGGCCTGGGCAGGGGATAGAGGAGTAGAAAGAGTGAAATATTCCAGCCCTGATGGAATAAACATTCAAGTATTAAGATGTGCTTTACCTGCTGCTTCCATAAAGGCTTTGTTTAACCGAAAGGTCAGCAGGGGTTCTTTGAGGTTTCGAAGGAAGTCTTTCAGGAGGCTGCAGACGGCATGGATATCATCTACTTTGCTGAGGAGGGGTACAGTTTTCACTCTGAGGAATTTCTCTTTCAGCTCTTTTACTGTCCGGTCACAGCCTGAGATCCTATATAAGCCTGTCTATTATCAGATAACATTTTAAGAATCCCGTAATTCTTAACACAAATAACAAACTCACCTTGTCCCAGGGCTGACTCTTACCTCCGTCAGGCCTCTCTGCTCAATCTCATTTACACAGTGCACAACAATGGAAGGGATCATTGGAGAAGTCTGGGACACAAAATCAGCCAGCATTCCCTGAAAAAGAGAGCTTTAAATTACTGTTTTCACCACTTACACCAACAGGCAAGATCATGTGTAAAGAATCACTTCCAAGAGATGGGGATGCAGATCAGGGGAAGAAAATTTGCCTAGAATGTTCAAGGCCTTTGGTTGAACTCCCACTACCACTGTCCCCCAAAATATCACCTCCAGACTAATACTCAGGTTGGGACATCATAATTTTTTTTTTTTTTGGTACCAGGGATCAAACTCAGGTCCTTGCATTTGTGAGGCAGGCGGCGGAACCACTGAGCTAAATCCCTGGCCTCAATAACTTTTTTTTAAAGACGATCCCGTGTAGAGTTCAGGCTGGCCTCAGACTCTCGATCCTCCTGCCTTGGCCTCCTGAATGCTGAGATAACAGATATGCCACCATGTGCAGCCTTGTTTAGAATACCTCTAGTATAAGAGAAAAATATTCACAGATAGTATATGATGACGGGATTTGGGTTGTAAAGTTAAATAAAAAGGAAGAAAAAAGAGAACTGATAAGTCAATAATGGTCCTGAGGGCTGGGTGTGGTGGTGCACATCTGTAATTCCAGCACTTGGGAGGCTGAGGCAGGAGGACTGCTGCAAATTTGAAGTCAGCTTGAACTACACAGTGAGAGACCATGTCTCAAAAATCCAAAAAGAATAGGCGTAAGTTAAGAAGTTGCGGAAGTTAAGCAACAAGGAACCAAGGGTTAATTATATTAACCTGGCTACTTATGTGTATGTCTGAAATTTTCCACAATAGGGTAAGATAGGAGAAAAGGAGAAAAGGGAAGGGAAGAAGAAAGAGGGAATAAAGGAAGGAGTAAAGAGACAGGAGTAGAGAGGACTTTGGTTAGAAAGTTTATTAATCAAACCCAAATACAACTCGGCTACAGGTCAATATTTTACAATTTCTATTCATTGTTCACGGAGGGAAACATTTGGCTTCGGTAATTTTAGAACAAAAACTGAAGATGGGCATAGTGGCACACACCTATAATTTCAGTACTCTGGGAGGCCCAGGCAGAAAGACTGCAAATTCAAACCAGCCTGGGCAATTAAGCAATTTAGTGATACTCTGTTTCAAAGTTTTTTAAAAAAATGTTAGAAGAAGGGATTTAGCTCAGCGGCACAGGGACTGCCTCTGAAGCCCAAGGTCCTGAGTTTGATCCCCAGTACCAAAACAAACAAACAAACATTAAAAAGGGTGTGGGGATATAGTTCAGTGTGAAGACCCTCAGGTCAATCCCCAGGACCAATAAAACAACAAAGCAAACTTGACACAAAGTCTTTGAAAAGCTAAGGAAAACACACCGTGACATCTCCGGGAGACATACCTCTCCAATTCTGACAGGTGTTCCTGTCAGAGTAGGAATGCAGGGAAGGGGACAGCGTTCTCGACATTCTGGATGAGAGACCACACGACAGTCTCGACACTTTAGAGACAACTTGCCAAATTTTATCCGCTTTCCACATGGAACACAGGATTCAGGTTTAATAACCTGAGAATAAAACAGGCAGAAGGAAGAGAATAGTATGAATTACAAAACTGTCATCATCAACTGGCATATAATGAGCACTTTGTATATACCAAACTACTGAGTCCTTGGCACACATTTATTTATGTAATTTTCACAAAAATCCTATAAAGTAGCTGGTGTGGTGGCACACACCTGTAATCCCAGCACTTGGGAGGCTGAGGCAGGAGGATCGCTGTTAGACTAGCCTGGGCTACATAGTGAGTTCCAGGTCAGTCTCAACTACATAGTGAGACCCAGTCTCAAAAAAACAAAACAAAAAAAATCCTATACAAAAGGTTTTGTTTTCTTCATTTTAAGATAAGAAAATGGAAGCAAAAGGAAACAACTTGCCTAAGGCCATCCAGCTGGAAGAGAGCAGTGTAGAAGAATGAAAATTTGTTGACAAGGAATCAGAAAGCCTAGATGATAAATCTGCTATTTATTATCACATGGATCAAACAAATGAATTAACTCCTATGAACTTTAGTTTGCTTAGGTTTTTAGAGGAAATCAAATTTACAAAATTAAAATATTTTGAAAATATAAGGTGCTATATTCAGGCATAAAATGTAAGCATGTGTCACTAAAAAGTGCAAACAACTGCTTCTTTAATTTAGTATAATTCACAGAATAGAAAGGTACATACCTTCTATAACCAATATTACCGCTGGAGAGTAGAACTGAAAGCAGGAAAGGAATTCAATATGTAACTTTATAACACTACAGAATTTATATTTACTCCCAGTATACACTACTTTTATAATTAAAAAAACTAAATGTGTCCTAAAGAATATGCAGCAATCACAGATTTACCGTCTTGGAGACAAAATCATGCAGACGCATCCCTCCATTACTCTGTGGCGTGCTTGAGGTGCCGGTCTCTCTTGGCTCCAGTGGCCTGCTGTTCAGGGTGGAGTCACTGTTCCAAGGTTCTAAAGTGCCTAACAAAATTAAACTTTTAAGGATTTTGTTCCATCTGAGTTTTAGCCCCAATTTCAATAAAACTAGTAGATAAGCAGTAATCTGTAACCAAAAGAGAAACTATGCACAGGCCCATAATCCCAGGACTCGGGAGGCTGAGGCAGGAAGAGCACTACCTCAAGTTGAAGGTCAGCCTGGGGGGGGGGAA